AATATTCCCAAAATACCCCTATCATCGGAATGCCCCGAACATTCGAATGCTAGGGGCATAATATGTTAGCACAGGTGGCTAGCATGCGCACCATGTCGAGCCAAGGGTGGCTGGCTGGTGCGTGCTAGCGCACCATGCATAGCAGCAGCTAGCATCCGCAAGCACACCAAGGCAGCAGCTGCTAGCACCCCGCACATGGTGTGCGCGGCATGCTAGCAGCAGCCCGCACTTGGAGTGCGTGGCTTGCTAGCGACAACAGTAACCCGCAACTCCAAGTGCGAGGGCTGGGCTTCGGCTGGGCCTAAGGCACGGGTAGTAGGGCCGAAGTAAATGGGAAGCAAATGGGAAGCAAGTGGGTGAGGAACATGTAGCACAATGAGAGTATGGAGTGGGGAGCAAGTATGGTCCTCTACTCTCCAAGTGGTACTCACTTCCCTTTACATGTATTAGTGACACTTGTAGATTTATTATTAGTTTGCTTATTTATTTTAATTTAGTTTTAAAATAAATTGTGGAATTTCATGCTCCCAAATTGATGGGATAGAAATTCCCACTCTCCCTCTTGCCTATTAATACGCATCTTGGGTTTTTGGGAAGAGTGCTTGAGTAGGAGTTCAATAAAGCATTGCATTAGCAAAAACTCTTAAACTCACATAATACTCGGGTTTTGGTCAGACCTCGCTAACCTCAAGGTAACGGACCTAAAAGTTGGTAGTTGTTTTTGCGGATGGATATCCGTCGGAGGCTCTCGTATTTTCGGGGATAAGCTTCTCAAGTAAGAGCCAAATTTGTGGGGCGAAGCACGCGACTAAGGTAAATTTTATATTTTGCCCTTTTGTGTTTATTTATGCATTAGTGATATTTTTTATTGCGTGCATGATCCTTGGCTCGGGTTTTTTCCGCGGTGAGTGGGACTCACCAAACCCCAACAGTAGTATCGGAGCCCCTCTCGTTTATTTTTAATTATCATATTTTTTCAAGGTATTTTTTATGGCTTAATTTTTCTGGTTTTAAGTTGCTAATTAGATTAGTAGCTCGTATTATCCATTTTAACCTCGTACTAAACAGACTTAAGCTCCCGAACCCTGATTTCGACCAAAAAATAGTGAATTTTGGGTGGAAAAGGCGTTATGGAAATGGTTTTACCCTATTAGGACTCGGTTTTTAGCCAAAAAACGACCATAAATGCATTTTTCGAGGGGTTTTTTGTTTTTACGAAAAATTTTAAGTCTTTCTAACCTAGATAATTAATTGCATATTTATGGTGGTTATGTAATTGGTTCAATACATATTTTATATGCAATTTTAAACCTCTTTAGGCATGATTACTTTGTGGTAATTTGTGTTTGAAAGCTTGGTTTTATTTTTCACATAATTGCAAATTAATTGCATTAAGTGTGAAATTTTTGTTTTGAGGCTTCTAAAGTGCTAAAGATTCAATCTTTAATTGTGATAAGTGATTGAAACTTTAAAACCTACTAAATTCCATGAATTTTATGTTGAACTTTGTTGTTTTAATCATTTTTGGTTGATTGGAAACATAAAGTTTCAAACTTTGTGATAGAAATTTGTTTATCTTCATATTGGATGATATAATTTTTCAAGGATTCACAAATGTTAGTAGTTGGATGTTTTCATTTTAACATTAAAGTTCATATTTTTCCAACTCTCTTTTACTTTGTCAAAATCTCAAGATTAATTTAAATTGATTAAATTAATCATGAGAAATTGACTTATTCATTTTTATTGCATCAAGCTAAACCAATTTGATTAAAGAATGGTTCTTGGGAATTATTTTGGTTGAATGCACCTTGATAAATTTTATTTAAGTTAGACTTGTTTAAATTTTCAATTTTTTGCTCATTGAATTAGTTCTAAAATTAATTTAGAATTAATAATATGTCACGCAAAATTGGGATCAAAATCCCGAGGCTATGGCACGCAAAACGAGGCAAAACCCCCTTATGCAGCCCGCATGTGGCTGCTAAGAGGGGTACTCGTGTGTGCGTGCAGCCATGGGCGTGGCTAGTGCACCCAACAGAAGCATCACATGGATGTGCGTGTGTGCGTGCACAGAAGCAGCACATGGCTGCGTGCGTGTGTGCTTGCACAGCAGCAGCATGTAGCTGTGTGCGTGCGTGTGTGTGTGTGTATTTGTAGCGCAGCACATATCTGCTATTGTGTGGCTATGGTGCGGCAGTGGTGCACGAGCATTTGGTGCGTGGGTTTGGTGCTTGGTGCGATGAGGCAAGCAACCTTAGTGCGTGTGCCTCACACCAGGCAACCGGTAGCAACACTACAAGGTGTAAGCCTTGCTAGTGCTACGGGGGGTGGTCGAGGCACTTGCACCAAGCTGCATTGTCCGAGTTACTAGATGACTTTGGTTTTCATATGGGATGCACCACTTGAGTGCAGTTGGTTTTGTGCTTGCTTGTTTGCTGTTTTATTTATTTTAATTAATTTTGATTATTTTAATTAAAATTTTTTAAGGCTAGGCCTCGGTTTTTAAGCGGAATTGACAAAATTTATTTTGACAAATTTTGGGTTCTACCGACTTAATTAATTGGATTAATTAAGATGGATGCGGAATTTAGTGGGAGCTTCAATTATTAATTACGTCAATTACATAATCGGTCAAACAACTTTGACTAGTTTTAATTAGGCGTGTTAATCGGATTAACCACCTAGATTAGTTACTAGTGCACACTTGTTTAATGCCTTATTACTTCTTTATTGTTGTAAAATGCATGGGCCATTCACATATAGTGAATGGATGAATGGAATGAATATTCTCTCACAGGTATATAAAAATGGCAACTAGAGGGACCCGATTAGGATAGAAAATACGGACTGCGTGCCGTGATATATTTTTGTAAATATAAATATGGTCTGCGTACCGTTGAGTATTTTTGTACCTTAATATTTAGATTAGTCCTAATCGTAGTTACTAGTATTGCATAAATATGGTCAAGTCTTGAAGACGGAGGTTCTTGGAAGACAAAACCATGAAGTTGCAAAAGAAGACCTTTTGAAGACTTGAAGAATTCAAGGGGTCATGCTAGTTGCCAATATGCATCAAAATGCTTTAATCTTTACATATTCATGATTATTTATATATGAATTATATGTTAGATGCATGTTTAAGGATTTCACATGTTGTGATGATTAATTAAGTTCACTTAAATCAACCAACATAGAAACCCTAGGTCCCTAAATATTTAGTAAAATTGCCATTCCAAAACAACACTTATTGACCTATTGAGAGTAGTGATGGGCTACGCCAAAGCGAGGCATCACTACCTCTCCCTAGACTCATAAGGAATACCGGGTATGCAAGTTGGTTTTGGTTATACTCAACGATATGAGTGATGGAGTCCTAACATGTCGTGGAAAAGTGAATAAATTGTTGAGAGAGCATTAGATGAGACAATTTATTCAACCAAGAGTGGCTTAGAGCCATTAGCAAAGCGTTGCTTACCTTGGGAGATTGAGTGCTAAGACAAGCCAAAGCATGGTTAGCCACTCATTGTTTCCCTGGATCTTGGAATCGCCTTATTTTCACAAAATGTGGACAATTTTATGTGTAAATAAGACGTTAAATAAGTATTGAAATGTGCATGAATTAAATTTAATCTTATTTAAAGTATTTTGAATGATTTTTCATTTCAAATTCTTTCAATTGTAGAATCATGTCTTCAAACAACCAATTTTCATTACGCTCAATTGTCGATAAGGAGAAGTTGAGTGGGACCAATTTCCTTGATTGGCAAAGGAATTTGCGCATCGTTCTTATGCAAGAACAGAAAGAGTATGTCCTTGATGAGGAAATGCCCGATGCTCCCAATGAGGAGGTGAATCAGGCTGCCCTTAACCGATGGCAAGTAGCCGATTGGGATGTCAAATGCGTTATGCTAGCCACTATGTCTCTTGAACTTCAGAAAACCTTCTTCCAGATGAAATCGGCCTATGAGATCATTTCCAAGTTACAGAATATGTTTCAAGAGCAGGCTCGAACCGAAAGGTTTGAAACCCTGATAGAGGAATAAACAAGTCGTTAATTGCTTATCCCAAAATCAAACACTATTTATAAAATCCTAAACCAACCTAAAACGAGTATAGGTAAGTATAGGGTCGAACCTAAAGGAGTTAGTTGGTGTTCTCTTTAGCCTAAATCAAGCTATTTCGGAGATTGAAGTGAAAAAATGGTTGGTGTTATGATAGCAAAACTAGACTAATCAAGTAATTCAATAAGCTAAATGCTAGGGATATTGGTTGCACATGCTAATTCAATAATCGTGCTAATCGACAATTTCTTCGTTTGATTCAAGCATTGCAAAGGAAAAACAATAGTAGCAATCAAGAGAGTTCAAGAGCTATCTCCTAGAGGTCAAACTAAGGGTCACTATGAATGGCTAATCAAGGAAATTCACAATTGAACTCAATCAATTAAAGCAATTCTCAAATTGATAGATCATGTCATTAAGAAATGCAATGCAATCTAGATTAATCTTATAGGTTGATCATTCCTAGTCTAATTAATCACATGCAAAACTATGTCAACCAATTTAATTGCAACAACAATTCAATCAATCAAAGATCATCAACTAGCACAAATTATCAATCAAGCATGCTTCCCCTTCTCCCTAGCAACTAATCTACTCACTAATCATGGTGTAACTCAAGAACAAATCACTAGAATTAGCATTGATCATCATTCTAAATCAAAATCAAGAGAAAGTAATATCAACTACAATATCCTATTCAAATCCAAGCAATTCTAACAATCAAAGATGAAACTAAATCAATCAAGTAAGAGATGAATTAGAAGAAGAAAATCTTACTAACATTAATGATTGAAAATGAAGGAATCCAAGCACAAATGATCCAATGTTGAAAAAAAAATTCAAACACTAGTAGAAAAAGATAAAAACGCACCGACAAATGCGCACCGGTTATTGAAAACCGGTGCCAAAAATAAAGCCTAGACCACAAAAATAAAAGCAGGTTTAATAGGGCACCGGTAACCGGTGCCTTTTTTCCAAAATTCCCTAAAATTAGAACACGCTCTCTCTCCTCACTCTTTCCTCTCTATCTCTAACTCTCTTGTTCTGTCTCCTCTGTTTCCTCTCTCCTCTCAAACTCTCCGTCTCCTCTCTTTTCTCGCTCCACCGCAGCCACCACCAGCGCAACCCTCAACTCTCTCCATCCTAGCTTCCCACCGTAGTCACCACCAGCGCAACCCTCCTCTCTCTCCATCCTAGTTTCTTGCCACCACCACCGCAGTCGTCTCTAATGGCGTAAGCCCTTAAAAAACTAGGAGAACGATGCCTAGATCTCTAATGGCGACACTGCTCCTCACAAGGTTTAACCCTCCTTTGTTTTGTTAATTTTGTATAATTTAGGTTAGGGTTTCGATTTCGTTGAGTTTTTGGGTTTTGATTTTGGATTTTATGATTCGGTTGTTGTTTTTCAGTTTGAATTATTATGTAATGTTTGATTTTGTCCCTCTTGTTATGATAATTATTGTAATTTGTATGTATGGGAAGTGAATTCGAATGAATGGGAAGTGAAAGAACTCTTGATTCGAATTTTCAACTATGAATTTGATGAATCATCAATCGGAATGTACAAACCCTAATATTAGAAATGATGATGATGACGATTCAGGTAAATAATTTATTATGCATTATTCATGTTTCTCATAAGAATCATTTTTTTTCCTGTTTTGTGAATTTTTCCTGTAATTTAATTAATCTCCATTGATAAACCTAGTAGTTTATTGATAATTATAATTTGTAGAGTAATTTAGACGAATATTTTGGAAATTTGACCTCAAAAATGAGTAAATTAGATAAATTTCTAGCAATGTGTAAAGTAATTTAGATGAATGTTCAAAAAACTGATTACTGTATATTAGATGAATTCTGGTGATTCCTGGAGTAATTTTAATGAATTTTCTTGTAATTTGACCCCAAAACACAGTTAAGATTAAATTGTTGGTAATTTGTGGAGTAGTTTAGATGAATTATGTGATTATTTGATCACAATCTAATTGATATTATTATAGATGAAGTAAAAGTAAGATGTTGAGATCAAAGAGAAGCAGAACCGAGGGAACTTCGTTGTGTGATTTGTGGTGTGATTTGTGGTAGGTGTATGGGTTGTACATTTGTGATGAGACAGATGATGATGTTTGCATCTTGGAAAGTGGTGTTGCTTGAGTGAAGTTGCAGGTGTTGAATGCTTCTTTTGTTATGAATATGTAGAGATTATACTGGTTCTTGTGCTTGAAAACTGCAGAGAAATAAAGCTCTTTAGGAACATGTGAATCGGATTATAGTATGCTGGTGTACTTGATGGAGACTCGTCTTTCCGTAAATAGACCCATAAACCTGATTATTTTAGGTTTATAGCCTTTTTTTGCCACTACTATTAATTAATCCACTTGTACATAGAAAAGTACCATGCCTCCCTATGCCTTTAATCTTAATGATGCCATTTTCTAGGTTAAAGGATTCCTAGAATATACTTGAGGAACATTCCTTTTTTACCCAGCTGCTTCCTTGTCTTTAGCATTTAGACCTTATAGTCAGATTGTATGTGTTTCTGCTTAATTCAATTGTGAAGGTGGATCATTCTTGTTTTGGCTATTATTTAAATAAAAATATTTTCTTTTGTTTTTCACTATTTGGTGTTAGAGAGGAGAAGCTAACAATATAATTGCCTTTGTATACCTTCTTTCCAACCAGAAGTGGATTTCCTTGCAGGGAATATATTGATAAGGACACGACATCAAGTCTTGCTACCTGAGCTATAATTTGTGTGCATCTTATTCTATAATGTAATATGATGATGATTTTAACAACTAATGTCTTTTCCCATTTAATAGGGGCCAGGTACGTTGCATCTCCATGTCGATCTAAGAAGTAATCATTATGTCGGTCAGTAACTTAATTCTTTTCCTCTTTTATCATTTTTTTTATTCTGTCATGTGCATAGCCATTTTTTGTTCTATGAGATATTTCTTAATTATAGATTGTGATGGTCCTATCCTCCAGAGTCCAGGCCACTATCTTTTGGGGGATTATCTAGCTATCAGACTACATATGTTTTATTATTCTCTAGTTCATTCTAATAGGTTTTATCTTCTTTTCTTTTGATATATACCGATTGACAATATTTTCAAGAGCTTATATTACTATAATTTTACTTGTATTCGAATTCAAACTGTAGAATTTAGTGCAATTTTGGTATTTTCTGAAAAATGTTGGTATTTGCAACTTTCCTTTGTTAATGTATTCTTCCTTCTCTGATTTCACTATCTAGTAATAGAGTACTTGTCAGAGTGCCCTGAATTCTTACTTTAAATCAATAGTACTTTGATCACTGCTATTCTCTTCATAGCCTACATGTAATTTTTTGATATAATGATCAATTTGTAATTGCATTCTTAGTGCAGCAGGTTTGTTTTTATCAACAGTTTGATTGTAGGGAGTGGATTAGAAAGGCATTGGCTACCATCTTTTTTTGGGCAGCCTATGAAATGCTACGATCCAGCAAGGTAGCAGAGGATTGGAGACAAGCTATAATAAGGTGGTGGTGTGTACTGCTTTAGACCAGACAACAATGAAGAGCATTATATCCGCACAGCAAGGGCTGAGAACTGCCCATGACTTGGTGTTCTGTTTCTGTGCTGTTCCTTCTGTAATATTACAGTTTTTTTTTTTTTTTTGTTTGGACCAAAATTGTAATATTAATGGCTTTTAGCCTTTTATTAATGAAAATATGTAAGTTTATATATATGATAGTGTTTATATATCAATTTAAGTGAAAAAATGCAAAAAAAAAAAAAAAAAAAAAAAAAAAAAAAAAAAAAAAAAATTTGGGTCATTTTTGGCACCGGTTTTGAACAAGAACCGGTGCAAAACACCCTGTTTTTGGCACCGGTTTTGAACCGGTGCCAAAAATCCCAATTTTTGGCATCCCTCAAATACCCAACGATTCAAAACCGGTGCCACAGAGGGGTTTTGAACCGGTGCCATTTTACATTTTTCTACTAGTGAAATCCAAGAACTTCTCTCTAACTTTTCTCTAATATCTCTCTCTAGAATTAAGCTAATGAAAATTATCTAAAAATTAAGTTCAAAAAGGAATTACAAGTGTATTTATAGGCAAAGAAGAAAAACGAGACTCCCGCGCCCTCTCCAATAAACCTCGTGCCCGCGGAAAAATGGGTATGGAACCCATTAAAAATTCCGCGGGCTTCTTGGGCAACACCCGCGCCCGCAGGTCTTCTATCCCACGCCCGCGGCAAGACCGCGGCGAATCCCCTGCTCCCAAAGGATGATCAGAGGGCCGCGGTCTCTCTGGTAAGAGCGGGCTCTCCAATCTTCCCGCGCCCGCAGCAAGCCCGCGACCAGACCGCGGAGAGTTCCTAGTCGAAATCTGCCACTTTTGTGCAAATGAGCCCGCGCCCTCGGCCGTTATACCCACGCCCGCGACTGACTGGCAGGGCTTGATATGAGAATATACACTAACTCACTTTCGTAGGAATCACGGTCAATTTTAGCAACAAAAGACAAGTCATTTAAACCCCTAGATCGCTCTAGAGGACGAGTGATGCTCTTGTAAAGGTTTCCTAGAGATAACCTATAACTCTTATTAAACAAACAAAAGAAGGAAAAATGAGGCAAAATACAAGAATAAAGAGCAAATAAAGAAAAACGAAATAAAAATGAAAAAAAAATCTTTGTGAAATGGACTTTACATAGTGACTATAGTTCAAATGAATAACAACCTTTCTAAAGTAAGTAATGGTATGCACGTTATAAGATACCTAAGGTTGATTGAAACATAAATATTCTAAGCAAGGAACTAGTTGTCACACTCCACTTTCATCCCAAACGATCTTATCGCGTTCCCCCTACTAATCTCATATCTCCCCTTAGTGAGCGTCTCATAGATTCCACGAAGGAACCGGAAAAAGATCGAATTTTTGGCTTACTCGACATCTTGACTTTGCATCCTCTTTCCTTAGGCTATAACCCATGATTCCCTCCACCGATGAATGACTCAACCCCTAGGTCAAAAGGTCTTCCCAAAGGTTGCAACGTAAGGCAAAAAGGGTTAAGGTAGGCTAAATTTAAAATTTGGTGGTTAACCTAAATTGTGAAGCAAAGATTGCACATTTCTTTACACCATAACCAAGTAATCACCAAACAAAAATACCAACACCCCCAAGCTTATTCAAAGCTAAGATCACAAACATATACACAAAAAGCGTGAGAACGCTTCCCCCCAAGCTTAAATGGAGCATTGTCCTCAATGCTCAAAAAGGAAGAATACTCACATAAAAATATTTTTGCATTTTTCACTTTTTTTTTTCATATTTCTTTATTAGTGCTTTGTCCTCGCCTCTTTTAACTTTGGACGGCTTTTTCAAATTTGCACTTGCCTTGTCCTTACTTTTTTTTTTCACTTTGGATGGCCTTTTCATTTATTCACTTGCTAATATTCACAAAATATACACAACACAAACTTTCTTCCAAGAGAACCAAATATCCAAACTCCTCCACCACAAATTCCAACATTAATGAATAATTGCTTCACAAAAACCAAGAATGGAAACGAAAATGAAACAAAAGGCTCAAGATCTAGAGATGTGGCTTGAAAAGAAGGGAAAAAGGCTCAAAGGGTTAGCAAGTAGGCAAATGAATCTCTAAACCCAAAAGTAAAAATAAGGAAACTATCCTAGAAAAAGGAAAAATACCTCCCCGAAAAGATGCCTTTGTCCTCCATAGGTGGTTCGGTCTCGGTCTTAGGAATCATACGTTAAGATTCAAGATTAAGTATGCGAAAGTCAAGGATCCATGTCGCTCATGCAAGAATATGTTGAAAGCTTGAAAAAGTATGAATCTCACATGGTTGTAGAAAAAATTCACTAAGGTTGTCAAATCGAAGATCGAGAGCAACTACCAACATGCCACAAACAAGTAGAATCCGGTTTCATGATCCCCCTAGTTCTAGACAACTACCCTAGCATGCTTTATCCTAGAATCAACCAAACGTATTCTCAAACCGTGCATACCATGACCACCTAGTAAGGTTATTATTCAAAAGCAAGAGTCCAATGATTACAAGTCCAAGTCAAAAAAGAATGAAAGAGTGAAAAATAAAGCCTCAAAAAGCTATGTACAAAACTAAGAACAAAAAGAAGAGAAAAGAAAATAAAATATGGAAAACCAAGATAAAGGAAAAGTAGAAGAACAAAGAAAAGGACAAAGATGCAATCATAACACGTATTTCCCAATCGATAAACAAGCAGTCAAATGGCCACATCGCCAAAGACCCTAAACACACTAGGTATTATAATCATACATCCTCGAACCGTTCAACTCTCCTAAAACTAATCCTAATCTAAGCAACCAAGAAAAGTAAAAGAAGAAAAGTATAGAGATAAAACAAGAAAGGCCTCACCAAGCGTCCAAGCTATGCTGCAATAATAAAGGAGCAAGAACGACCTTCTCTATGAAGCTACGAAGACCAAAGCAGTGGCTATGAGCAAGGTGAGCAAAAGAAAAGAAAAGGACTATACACAAAATGAAATTGTTAGTAACTTCCAAACAAAAGCAAACAAAAGTAAACTTACGCGAAAACTATATACAAAGAACAGAGAAACCATCATCATCATCATCAATAGTAGGGACCACAGAACATCATCATAAAAACCAAAACAACAAGATAGACAACATACCAACGAGACTACCAAGAGCGAAGAAAAAGAAATCCATCAAAGCCCTTTCAAACACATCCCCAAGAGTCCAAGGTGCCTCCCCAAAAACCTACCCTAAAACATCCTATTTGATTCCCCCCGTACAAAATAAAGGCATCAACCGCGATGCTTAAAAACATGCAAAGCTAAAAGGGAGGAAACAAAAAGGGAATCTGACAACCTAGGGGGAAACTATTGGCCACTAGGGCCGGCACCACCATCACCCACATCCCAACCTCCGGTATAACCGGGAGGGAACCCATAGCGACCCTTAAAAAGGTCAAGTTGAGATGGGGATAATTGGTCAAAAGGCTCCCGTTGAATACAGAGCTCGGGGTGAGTGGGGTGAACATATTAATAGTCGGGGTCACCCCGATAATCACTCCCCCCCGAGACCCGGTAGTCATAATGACCGGACTCATCTGGGAAGTAACGCCTTGGCTCATCGGGGTTTTTAACCCCAGGCCAATATGGGTACGTGGGGAGGTTGTCACCACCCCTAGATGGCACCGGCCTTTGTTGGGGCGGCACATAAGGGTAGTTCACTGGAGGAGTGACCTCCCCCCTACGCACACTAGCGTCATATAGGGCGCTAGTTTGAAAAGACAAAGTTTGATGGTTCGAATACATACCTTGAATGCTCAATTGCATGCGCTCCATATGCTCACGCATAGCCTCCATCTCACGGAGATATGCATCTCCTTGGTTGTCTTGTTGGTGATGTTGTTGTCTTCTTCTTCCTCTTTGTTGCGGTTGTTGTTGTTGTTGCTCTTCTTCTTCCTCTTCATCATCATCACCTTCTCCTTCTCCACCTTCACCATCATGCCCATCATCATCATCATCGTCCTCATCACCATCATCCTCCTCCATAACATTCTCAACCCTCGTGTCATCCTCGGGAATCCTCCAAACAATCCTAGCCTCACGAGTGATTGAGGTGGCAGCTGATTTGGGAGCATACAATGGTGCACATTTCGCACTAGCCAAGAGTACCCACCGTTTCCCTTAGACTTAGAAATGAAGCGCAAGGTGTTAAGTTGTACATGTCTTCACTCTTTCCTATCGGAGTGCAAGACCTAAGGAAGCACTCTTACTTAAAATAATAAACCAATCTAGTAATCATGCCACCACAATGAATCTCACCCGTCTTCTTCCCAGTGGCGATCAACCTTGGCCCCAAATCCTTCCTTGTTGCCATCCAAAGCACTAAGATCTCCTCCCTCGAAAGCTTCCCAAGATCTTGCTTACTAAACACTGTATACCCATGAATCCGGTGGAGAATACGAAGAGTCGGGTGGATGATCTCGCTAGCAAGCGATTCCTTAGAGTCAAACGACCTCTTCCTAGATATGGATCTTCACCAAGCAACCTCGTTGTATTCGGTCTTGTGAAGGGCAACCAAGGGCTCAAAGATGTCGGTATTTGGGTTGAAACCAAGGGCTTTGTTGAATTCCGCAAGGTTCATTGTATGTTTGGAATTGAAGAGTTGAAAAGAGATGATGTAGTCGGTATCCCCTGTCATATTAAACTCAAAGGTGGAGAAAAATTCAATGCATGGTTCCAAATAAGTTCGGAGGGATGACTTTACAAACTCAACCAAACAAAGATTACGGAACAAAATGTGAAGGTCGGCATCAACACCCAATTTCTCCATATCCTCGGGAAAATAGTTGCAGGACGGTCTAAATTTCCGGGATTTCATTTTATTATAGATAGGGGTGTGTTTAGCCCGGTTATGAAATTTGAGAGCAGGTAAAGGAGGAGGTGGGGCATTATCTTGAGTAGTTTGGATTTGAGGGGGTTTGGTGTTTGAAGGTTGGCCACGAGAGGATTAGCCGGGTGATTGGTTTGAACTTTTCTTGCTACTCTTAACTCTCCTCAACAAATCCATATTTTCAAGCTCAACCAATACAATGAATCACAACGAACACCCAAATTCAACGCTACCACCAACGTGAACAAACCTCCGTTCACAAGACCAACCAAAACCACCACAAACTACA